TCACCTTCAGGTTGCGTTGTCTTGTTGCATCTTCTAATTGCCCCATCTTGGCACTTAGTTGTGCACATGTAGCGTTCATTTCGAGCATTTGTGCTGCGGTAGAATCTTGATTGATTCGTAGATTATGAATGTCTTTCACCGGGGCTCATATGCTCAGTCAGTGCATTTGGATTTTCCTTAAGCACCGCCATCTCAGCAGGGCCGGTGCATGGATTTCTGCTGCCCTAGGCAAAGATCCATTTTGCCGCTCCCTCATGTCACTCACTAACTGACAGACACTCACTGACAGACGCACACGCTGACACACATACACCCACTTACTGACATACACACACAGAAACTCACTGTCAGACACACACTCACTTACTGACAGACACACACACAGACATACACTCACTGACAGACATACACTTACTCAGACAATCACTGACAGACATACACTCACTGACACACACACACAGAAACTCACTGACAGACATACACACACACACACACACACACACACACTCACACAGACACTCACTGACAGACACACACTCACTGACAGACATACACTCACTCAGACCATCACTGACAGACATACACTAACTCACTGACAGACACACAGACACTTACAGACAGACATACACACTCACAGACGCTCACTCACTGACAGTCAAAAAGTCAAACACTCACCTCCCTAGGCTCCTTACTCCTCCCACCAGCTGTTTAGTATGTCGGGGCTGTAAATATGTCATATTCTGACTTCCGGCATCACAGAGGGCATGCAAGGGAGGAGTGAGAGGAGGAGTGGGAGGCTGCAAGAACAGCTTCCCTCGCCGCCTGCCTTCTCCTGGCTCCTCCGGTCACCGGCATTTGATGGCAGAGCAGGCACCTGTCATCAAGGTAAGAAAGTGCCTGCTCTGCCATACTGAAGGACAACTTAGATGGTGCCCTGTGACAGGGCTCCTCTGGGCGCCCCCACCTTTGGGCGCCTTGAGGATCAGCCCGGCGTTGGGGGCAGCTCAAGAGCCATTCGCCCAGCGCTGCGGCCCAAGACAGGGGGAGCCCACAAGGAAATATCCCGGTTGCCAGGGCCCTGCATCTCTGAGGCAAAGAAGGCCTTAAGCTCCGCTACCATGGAGGTCAGATCCATTTTGGCCAGGGTGGCTCTATTTGCCGTGGCTGCATCTGCTGTGGCTCTGTCTGCTGTGGAGGGAGAACCTTGCTCCTGCGTTTGTATGTCAAGGCCTCCTCTAGCTCCTGGTCCTCTTCATCTGAGGGAGACATCGAGTCCGGTGGAGAAGTTTGCTGCGGATCCACCATTTTGGGCAGGCATGACTCGGAGAGTAGTTGTCCAATATCGCGGATATGCCCCTCGCTAAGCCCTCGAGATTTCTTAGAGTGCTTCCCCATCGCAACCATCGCAAATGGAAGTGTATCCACTTCAAATATGCACCCATAGACTTACAGCTCCATAACCACTGCACTGACCTTAAAACAAATGTGACAATAGATCTTGGAAGTGCCAAATTGGAGCTTTGAAAGCATTTATTTATAATTTATTTACAATTTAATCACAGATTTCCTTAAACTTCAACGGTCATTAAATTTTCACTTTCTCTTTTTTTAAGTTTATTATATTTTTAATTAAAATTTATGTTCTTTTGCTTAAGTGATGTATATTAAATAGTTTTTTTATAAAATGTCACTTTTTTTTTCTATCTGACCAACTGTTGCTCAACCTAACTTGCCTGCTGCTGCAGGTTCACGCAGAGCAATCACAGCAGCAGCAAGTTAGGTTGAGCAACAGTTGGTCAGAAAACAGTAGAGTCTGACCCAACATGGCTGCTCCCGCACATAAAAAAATTGAAAATTTCTCAAAAAAAATCTATATGCATTACTTTAAAAAAAAAGAAAAGAAAAGAAAAATGTTTAATTAAATGTAATAAACTTAAAAAAACACACAAGAAGTGAAAATGTGATGATTCTTTAACTTATAAAAAGAATCAAAATGTATCTGAGCCTTTTACGTTTATACTACACCTGCAGGTGCATTCGCCATGTTTTAGTGTGTTGTAAAATTCAGAGACAGGTCCCATTTCAGTAAAATATACCTTTTAAAAGTGTGTTTACGTCCCGCTGAGATCACTCTTCTCTTTTGCAATGTCATCTTTTTACAGTTTATGACATTATATTTACATGTAATCCTTTTACTGCCTGATTATATGAACTTTTACATTTTTTTGCACTGTCACCTTTGCTGCTACAAGTTTATTGAGCTCTGAATTCTTTTTAACGTCCAAAAGTGCCCCGTCAGATTATAGCAATTGTGAGCTGGTCGTTTAAAGGAAAACACGCGTCTGCTTTTATTGTTAAAAATAAAACTCTCCATGTATTGTAGATTCTGTATATATAATTTTGTAATGCATAGACATAAGAAAAATATATTTTTTTTTCAGTGCATCTTCTGGCTTAACCTTGCTCTGTGGAGGCAGCCATCTTTATGTCCTCCTTGGTTAGCAGAAACAATCATTTTCCAGTATCATAGGAAGTGTATGAATGTATGAGACTAGTTCAAAATTCAAAGTGCGTTTGAGACACTAAGCCCTAGCTTTTAATTATCGGTATGATTTTTGGACAATTACGTTGTGCTTCCTACTAAAGAGGTCTTAAAAATGGCTGCCCCCGGTGGGCAACGATAAACCTAAGCCTGGAGAGGCATTGCTTGAAATGAATAAATACAATATTATCAATGTTAATAAACAATTCTTATTGGGTGTTTCTGCTGTTTTGCCATTTTTCCTAAGTCTGTAATCAAAATAAATAAAACAAATGTTACTTAGCGAACATTATATGTGTATTCAGATACATTTAATTGTTCTTCTATCTTGTTGTGAACGTTGCATTGTATTTATTTTTTGTGTTGAGGAATTGTAATATAAAGGCTGGCCCTGCAGTATGTTTAATGCATATTCTGCAGGGTTCTTCATTGCCTTACTACTTAATCTTATACACCTTCTGAATTCTACATACTACAGGGCTACCCTTTTCATGTGCTGCCCATAAATATGTATACGTGATATGTGTCCCTGAAAACATGGTGGATATAGTAACCCTGATCAAGGCACAATTGTCAGCCATTTTGAATATTTACATCAAGAGATTTAAAATGAGCCTGCCATGGCACAGGTTTACCACATTCCATTGCATTAAGTAATGAATATACACTGATCAGCCACAACACTAAAACCACTGACAGGCCAAGTGAATAAAATTGATTAAATCGTTTGAATGTTAAATGATCATATCGAATGGTTCATTGTTTTTTTTTTTAATTATCTTCTCTTCAGCGGTGTGGTGGTCACCATGAAGACGATACTTAAGTGTTCTATTCTGTTCTACCTCCTGCACTGTAGTTGCTGTGAACAAATGCAGGAGAACCACTTGTATGAGGGTTCTCCTGCGTCTCACCTTTCAAGCAACTCTCAGCATACATTCTCTCATGTCCACTGGCGTACATTCCGGAGTTGCAGGGGTCGCAGCTGCGACTGGGCCCGGTCCACCAGGGGGCCCGGCCGCCCTGGGACCGGTATGTACGCCAATTTGCCAGCCTCTTCTCCTGGGGGGCCCAAGGATTAATTTTCCACGGATCAATTTTCGCACCGGGGTTCCATGGATCGTGTGTACGCCACTGCTCATGTCTCCATATCTGTTTGTTCCCCCCTACCCCTAAATTCATCGAAATGGATAAGGGATTTTTTTTTTTTGTTATTTAATTTTTCATCTGTACAGTTTTTTGTATGTCTGGTAGCATAATATATGGGTGAAATGTAATACCATTTAAATTTACCATAAGATTTCTGTGTGCTTTAACAAGTATACTTTGAATTTTTCTTCTCTGTGTTTTGTCGATTTTTTTTTTTTATATATGAATGCCTTTTCTAAAAAGATTTTTTTTATTTTTCGTCCCATGCTCGGCCTTGTATTATGGATTTTAAAACCTAGTTAAATGTTTGCAGGTATCTTTACATAGCTTTCGGTAAATCACACACCTTGTAAAATGTGCTGCCTTTCTCGTGACTATTTTAAATTTGTTTTGATCGGTCATGCTTTAGAAGTAGTGAAGTTACTGCAGTTGTAGCTTTATGGTTTTATTGCAGCCATATATTATGTTTTTTTCGCTTTGTCATTTCTTATTACTAGGCATTTTTTATCTTTGTTTGCTAAAGATCATTTCTGCTTTGTCACCAAATATTTACCTGTGTTTTTGAAGCAGGTTAAAGTCTTCTTTACAATCCAGGGCATTCATAGATAAGTTTTATGGAGGAAAGGGAAGGGCTACATTGAAAATGATATATATATATATATATATATATATATATATATATATATAGTCACGGGAAAAACAAAGTACACCTCTTTGAATTCTATGGTTTTACATATTAGGACATAATAACAATCAACTGTCCCTTAGCAGATCTTAAAATTAAGTAAATACATATGATACATATACAGATGATTC